GCCCCGCCCCCCGCCATGTTGTCCCGCCTTACAGATGTTAGAATCTGCTCACCCTAAAGTAGAAGTGTTTTTAAGCTGTTTTAGTACCATGTGATCAAGTGAAGGGTGCCACTTTACAGGTGTGTTATCTGAGAGCCACCTTTGTCTCTTGGTACACTTGAACCTGTAGTTAAACTTTTGCAGCACACTTAAATTATGTTGATCAGAAAAAAAAAAGAGTAAAAAGAAAAAGAACATATTGTGCTTTGTACTTCTAGTAATTTAATTAATGGTCATTAAAATTTTTCACAGCACACCTAAGATCCTCTCATGGCAGGCAGAACAGTTGAAAATCCCTGCCTTAGGGCAGCGCCTGTGCCTCAGTGGGTAGGGCGCCAGCCCCATATACCCAGGGTGGCACTGGCCAGATGGCAACAAAAAAATAGCTGGGTGTGGTGGTGGTTGCTTATAGTCCCAGCTACTTGGGAGGCTGAGGCAAGAGAATCGCTTAAGCCCAGGAGTTGAAGGTTGCTGTGAGCTGTGACGCCATGGTACCCTACCAAGGGCGAAAAAATGAGACTCTGTCTCTGAAAAAAAAAAAAAAAGAAAAGAAAATCCGTGCATTACCAGGCAGTGCTGAGCATGCAACGTGGTGGCTGTGAAGGATGGATACGAATGTTCTCAGTTCATTTCTTTGCTTTATTATAGTGAGCTACTAAGGGAGGTTTCTGATTATGCTGGCAATGTTGGCTTGTAGAAAATATATTTTTTTGTGTGTAGAAAATATATATGCTGTATCTATATATTGTAAATAATGTCAGATTATTTGCCTTGTCTTTTTTCAGATGAGAAATAGCATTGTATTTGTTTTGTCTCAATCTAGGTCCAAGGCCAACTTTGGCTAAATTAAGCAATATGACGTGTGTCCCAGAGACTACTTATAAGTATCCTGATTTGCCTATAAATCGATGTAAGGAAGAGGTAAAATTACTTTTGTTAGACTGTAATTTTGCTGTTTGTATAAATGCCTGAGATCCAGCACTTTTTGGTTTATAATTTGAAAGTTGCAGGTGAACACATCCCTGGTGTGCAAGGCTCTGTGGTAGGGCTCAAGGCTGTGTGGAGGTGGTTTCATGTATTAACCGTATTGATGACTTTTCTTTTGACTTGTGCTTTAATTGTTTAGTCTTTGCCAGAGTGCATCTCCTCTGACCTTTAGTTTGGTATCTAGACTTCCCTTTCTCTGACATATTTATAATAAACAGTCGTCTTTCTTAGGAGAGCTGATTGGTTAAAGAATCTCATTGTCAAATCTTTTGCAAAGCAAATGATACACTCTGGCATTTCCACTGGATTTTTACAGTGTTGCCCCTATTTTCTGCCTATTGATTTGATCCATCACTGATACCATTTTATTAACAATGCTAGGTCAAATATAGCAGTAGGATGATTACATTTCCAATTAGTTACATGTTATTAAGTGTGGTTAAAAGTAAGTATATTGAAATCTTAACTATACTATTGGAAAAAGCAATTACAGATAAAACTGGAGATGTTTAACGTTTATTTGCTTATTTTTTGAGTCAGTTTTTGTTGCCATGGCTAGAGTGCAGTGGCATCATCACAGTTGACTGCAACCTCAAATTGGTGGGCTCAGGCGATCCTCCTGCCTCAGTTTCCACAGTAACTGGGACTATGGGTGTGCACCTCCATGCCCAGCTAATTTTTCTATTTTTAGTAGAGACGAGGTCTCACTCTTGCTCACACTGGTCTTAAACTCCTGAGCTCAAGCTGTCTTCTTCCTTGGCCTCCCAGAGTGCTGGGATTATAAGCATAGCCACCATGCCCCAAATTTAATTTTATTTTGCTTTAGATTGAATCATACAACTTTTATAGAATAGATGAGCTTTATTAAATGATTTTTAGAGCCCAGTATCTAAATTAGTTTGTATTTCTAACCATATTCAATTGGTAGAAGGATAAGAACTTACTTAAGTTTGGGGTGAAGGTGAAGAAATGGACTCAAGTTTTTAAAAATGCTTCATATGTGGGCCGGGCACAGTGGCTCATGCCTGTTATCTTAGCACTCTGGGAGGCTGAGGTGGGTGGGTTGCCTGAGCTCACAGGTTCAGGTCCAGCCTGAGCAAGAGCAAGACCCTGTCTTAAAAAAAAAAAAAAATTAGCCAGGCTCTGTGCCTGTGGCTCAAGTGGTTAAGGCACCAGCCACATACACCTGAGCTGGTGGGTTGGAATCCAGCCTTGGTACGCCAAACAACAATGATGGCTGCAACCAAAAA